CTCCCTCCCCTTTTTTTTCTCCCTCCCCCCCCTTCTCTCTCTCTCTCTCCCCCCTTTCTCTCTCTCTCTCTCTCTCTCTCTCTCTCTCTCTCTCTCTCTCTCTCTCTCTCTCCCTCTCTCCCTCTCTCCCCTTTCTTTCTCCCCCTCTCTCTCTCTCCCCTTTCTTTCTCCCTCCCCCCCTTTCTCTCTCTCTCTCTCTCTCTCTCCCCCCTTTCTTTCTCCCCCCCCTTTCTCTCTCTCTCCCTCCCTCTCTCTCTCTCTCTCTCTCTCTCTCTCTCTCTCTCTCTCTCTCTCTCTCTCTCTCTCTCTCTCTCTCTCTCTCTCTCTCTCTCTCCCCCCCTCCTCTCTCCCTCTCTGTATATATCTCCAGCTTCCCTGTTTTTATCTGATCGCTGGTCGTATGTGAGGAAATATTTTGATTTGGTCTATAAATCATTCAATTCACTTTTAAATATCTGTGGAAGGCTTGTGGGTTTTTCTTTTTTCTTATTTTTTTCTTTGGGGCGGTGGTAGAGATTTTTTGCAGTCTGAGTTTTTTTTTTTCTTTTTAATATCAGAATTATTATTTGTAACCCCCACAACTTTTTTTTTGTCACTGTCTTTGCTTTTTTCCTTTGTCCTCTTTTTTCCCCTTTCCTCCTCCTCCTCTTTATTATTTTTCTTCTCTTCCCTCCTCCTCCTCCTCTTTCTTCTCTTCCCTCCTCCTCCTCCTCCTCTTTCTTCTCTTCCCTCCTCCTCCTCCTCCTCTTTCTTCTCTTCCTCCTCTTTCCCCCACCCTCCAACTATACTTTTCTCCCTCTACTCCTCTTCCCCCTCCCTGTCCTCCTTTCTCATATCTCCTCCCCCTCCCCCTTTTTCTCATCCCCCACCTCTCCCTCTCCTCATTTCCCCCCTCTCTCTTTTCCCTTTCCCCCTTCTCCAATACCTCTCCTCCTCCTCCTACTTCCCCTTCCTCCTCCTTTTCCTCCTCTTCCCCCTCCTCTCTCTCTCCCTCTCCCCTCTCTCTCCCTCTCCCCTCTCTCTCCCTCTCCCTTCTTTCCTTCCTCCATTCCTCCTCCTCCTCCTCCTCCTCTTTCCATTCATCATCGTTCTCTTCCCCCTTCCCCTCCCCCTCCCCCTCCTCCCTTCCTTCCTTCCTCCTCCTCTTCTTTCCCATCCTTCTCCTCTTTCCTATCCTCCTCTTCCTCTTTCCTATCCTCCTTCTCTTCCTCTTTCCCATCCTCCTCCTCCTCCTCTTCCTCTTTCCCATCCTCCTCCTCCTGTTCTTTCCCATCCTCCTGACTTCTCCTTTTTCCCATCCTCCTCCTCCTGACTCCTCCTCTTCCTCTTCCCCCTCCCCCCTCCCCCTCCTCTTCCTCTTCCTCTTCCTCCTCCTGTCCCCCCCCCCCCCCTCTCTCTCTCTCTCTCTCTCTCTCTCTCTCTCTCTCTCTCTCTCTCTCTCTCTCTCTCTCTCTCTCTCTCTCTCTCTCAGTCTCTCTCTGTCTCTCTCCCTCCCTCCCTCCCTCCTTCCCTCCCTCCCTCTCTCCCCTCCCCCTCTCCCTCTCTCTCTCTCCCTCCCTCTCTCCTCTCCCTCCCTCTCTCTCTCTCCCTCCCTCCCCCCTCTCCCTCCTCTCTCTCCCTCCCCCCCTCTCCCTCTCTCTCTCCCCCCCTCTCCCTCTCTCTCTCTCTCTCTCTCTCTCTCTCTCTCTCTCTCTCTCTCTCTCTCTCTCTCTCTCTCTCTCTCTCTCTCTCTCTCTCTCTCCCTCCCCCTCCCTCCCCCCCTCCCCCTCCTAATCTCCTTCTCCTCTCTCTCTCTCGCCCCCCTCTCCCTCCCCCTCTCTCCCTCTCCCTCCTCTCCCTCCCTCCTTTTTCTATTCCTCCTCCTCCTCCTCCTCCTAATCCTGCCTTTCTCTTTTCCTGTTCTCTCCCTCTCCCTTCCTTTCATATTCCTTCCCTTTCCCTCCCCTCCCTTGTGACAGCTTAGAGTCATGATTTTATTTTTTGAAAGATTGTGAATATGAACTTCACAATCTACCTTTTAATTGTAATTATATACAGTGATTTCACGGGGCTATTCTCTCGTCTCAAGGATTGCATCGCGAACGTGATATTAGGTAGTGCTTCTAGAAATGTATCGTCTGTTCTTGGTAATCCCTTTGGGGTCTTACTTTGATCGTACGACAAGAGATGCTCGTAGAGACCCTATGTCACAGGGCCGTGTTGATGTATCTGCTTGATTGACCTTGTTGTCTTAGCTGTTGACCACCGAGATGGTCAGATGATGGTATTGTTCCCTATCTTTTGCTGTGACTTGTTGGGGTTGTTTATTTAGGGTGCTCTTCTTCTTCTTCATCTTCTTCTTCTTCTTCTTTTGATGAGTGGCCATCTTCGAGCATCACCACGGGCCTCATAGTTAACGACAGGTTGGGTTTAGCGTGAATCAGGGAGGTAGGAAGATGAAGAAGAGGGTAGAGGGGAGAGAGAGAGAGAGAGAGAGAGAGAGAGAGAGAGAGAGAGAGAGAGAGAGAGAGAGAGAGAGAGAGAGAGAGAGAGAGAGAGAGAGAGAGACAGACAGAGAGACAGAGAGACAGAGACAGGAGAAGGAGATGAAAGGGAAGAGGATAGATAGCAATTCCAGGGTGGGTGTTATAAGTTATTTGATCGCTGACAGGTTGGCGACGATGCAGATTCGATATGCAGTGATGCCCACTGGTCGTGTTGCATTGCACCAAGCATCACCAACCTCTCCCCATGGATATGTGTCTCGTAATAAAAAAAAGAAAAAGTATACCAGAGAAATGAACACCCTTGTCTGCCAGTCCTCATTTCAGCCAGTGTCCAGCCACTGATGGAATTGTCTCCCCATTAAGGACTTCCCTCCCCCCCCCTACCCCATGCCACCATTCCCATCCCGCAGTAATGACAGCCCATGATTGAGGTGCCCATTAACGGGACTGCTTTCCTTCCCTGTCTGATGGAGACTCGTTTTCATCGTCTCTGTCCCCAGTGTTTATTTTATTTTGTTCGTACTCTTTACCTGTGCAGTTGTTTCTATATATTCGTTTATTTATTTATTTATTTTTTTCTAAATACTTGTCTCCTGTTCTCTCCTCTCCTTGAATTTGTTTGTTATTATAATCATTATTATTTTTTATTTTATTTTTTTTCCAGTTCCTCAGGAAGGGTAAAGTTGTTTAGGCATGACTCTAAATGAATTCTTTTCCATAATAATTATTTTCAGTTTGATTTTGGGTTTTTCTTGATCTGTTCTCTCTCCCAAACTTTACATAGATTTGATCTACTTTTCCGTGATATCTACTGAACTTAGGCTATTAGACAAAATGGCATTAATTAGAAATACTTCTTTATGTTTACTTTTTCATAGAGTCAATGAATGGTGAAACTTGGTGCTCTCTCTCTCTCTCTTTCTCTCTCTCTCTCTCTCACTCTCTCTCTCACTCTCTCTCTCACTCTCTCTCTCACTCTCTCTCTCTCTCTCTCTCTCACTCTCTCTCTCACTCTCTCTCTCTCTCTCTCTCTCTCTCTCTCTCTCTCTCTCTCTCTCTACACACACACACACACACACACACACACACACACACACACACACACACACACACACACACACACACACACACACACACACACACATATATATACATACACATACACATACACATACATATATGTGTCTGTGTGTCTGCGTGTGGGTTGTTTGCGTGTGTGTGCATGTGCGTGTGTGTGGGAAAGGGAGAGATTCCCAGTGCCACCATTCATTACCTCTAAGAATGTTTAGAGTCAAATTTTCTTCAGTAAACCATCAGGAACATTGATTAAAAAGTTAAATATAAAGAAAAAGTGAAAGTTTTTTTTCTTTGTGCCTTCATTATTTATGGCAAACGAAGTCCAGTACATACCCTGGCCCTAGTTATACAGAGCTTGGGAGAGAAAAGATAGAGAGTCCAATGTCCCAGGTCAAGGTTGCTTAAAGGGAAGTCAATTTGTCAATCATGATGAAAACTTTTGACAGGCAGAGGGAGGAGCTTGGCTTCAATTTTACGGCACAGTTTTATTCTGTTGAAAGTTCATGCACGCGAAGGCAGTCACAAGGCGCGTGTCGTGGAGGTTGCCTTGGTCCTTGAAGAATGCTCGGGGTGTTGGGAGGGAGTGAGAAATGGCTTCGTGGGAGGGACGAGCGGAGTTGGGAGAAGGCTTTTCCTTGTGGAGTGGAGGGACTTGGGTGGGGTTGTGCTGTGCAGTGGAGTGTGAGTGGGTTCTCTGCAAGGTCGTGGGTTCAATCGGTTCTCCCTTATATCTTTTCTTGCTTTTGATCCAGTTGATTGATAGGATGATTTACAGATGGACTCGGAGGATATTTAGGTCTTCTTTTGTTTTTATTATAATTATTTACAATTGAGGGTATGTCCATTTCTTTCTTTGTAGATAGGTGTTAGAAAACTGTGGATGTTAAAATAGTGTAAAGTTCTCAAGGGCTCTTATTTAGTTTTTAAGTTTCCCTCCTTGACTCACTCTCTCTCTCTCTCTCTCTCTCTCTCTCTCTCTCTCTCTCTCTCTCTCTCTCTCTCTCTCTCACACATGTTTATTAAGTTTTTGACTCTATTGTTCATAGGCAAATAGGAAGTATCATTTGAGAGTAAACACTTCTTATCTCCCAGTAGGTACTAGTATTTTGTAAGTTGCACATACTGAAGGTTAAAGGGAGTGATGAGTATTGTCACTGACTGTAATCTGCCTGTCATTTCAAAGAATATGGAGAATGATAATAAGGAATGGTGGCTATGGTAGAAATTTTGTTTAGGAAGAGGAGGGGAAGCAAATGGATACCAAAATATGTCTGTTATTATAGGGATCTGTTTTAATGAGGGAGACTGTATATTATTATTATTATTTTTTTTCTCTCCCATTCATAAAATTGCGATGAGGGAGACTGTATATTTTTTTTTTTCTTTCCCCCCATTCATAATATTGCGACATGTTCTAATAACAGCAATTGTCCGCAGATCTCTCCAGGTGTGGGAGCAGACGGGGAAGCGGCACAGCGAGGTCCTCCGAGAGCAGCAGGGGCAGGAGGGCGGGTCCAGGCTCGGGGGCGCCCTCCGGTACCCTAGCACCGTCATCCTGTGGGTCACGTGCAACCAGGTAATTGTTTAGGGCTGATTATTTGGTTGCGAATGTAGTTTGTAATTTTCAAAGTTGCCGAAAAAAAGGCCATGCTTGGGGAGTATTAGAGGAATGTATTGTGTATAATATGAATAGAGTATCTTTTTTGTACAGCTTTTTTTTATTGTCTTTTTGCATTTATTGCCATTACACTTGCGCTTACATCAGTTACTCTTGAGGAAATATTTTTAAACATATGGAACTGATCATAAGTATCCAAATTATTTTCACATCCATCAGTCTCCATTCCATCCTTTCACTGAAGTCTGTCCTCACTCTCCATCTGCCAACAGGACGTCCTGGACCAGCGACTAGACAGACGTGTGGACGACATGATAGAACGCGGCCTCCTGCAAGAGCTCAAGGACTTCCACGCTGATTACAACAGGCAGCGGCTGAAGGAGGGGCAGCCGGCCGACTACACCAAGGGCATTTTCCAGAGCATTGGCTTCAAGGAGTTCCACCAGTATCTCGTGCTGCCGGAGGAGGAGCAACAGGCCGAGGCTGGCAAGAAGCTGTATGAAGCCGGGATTGCAGCGCTGAAGCAGGTGGGTTTGGGATATTCCTTCTCTCTTTCCCTCTTTTTCTCCCCTTCCTGCTCCTTATTCCTCCTCTCATTATTCTTATACTTCTTATTATTCCTGTTCCTTTCTCTCTTCTTCTGATTCTTCCTTTTCCTTTTTCTGTCTCCACTTTGTCTCCCCTCTTCCGGCTCCTCCTCTTTCTCTGTCTCCTCGTATTCCTCCTCCTCCTCCATCTCCTCTTCCTCTATTTCCTCAACCTCCTCTTTCTCTCTCTCCTCCTCCTCCTCTTTTTTATCTTTCTCTTAATATTATTATTATTATTCCTATTCCTCATTCCCTTCTTCCTCCTCCTCCTTTTTATCCTCTTTCCCCTATCACCTTCATCTTATTGTATTAGGTGAAGAAAGATTGTTTTTGATTGTATGTTATTGCTCATGTTAGGAAGTCATTAATCTCTTTTCTGTAAGTGTTAATTTTCTCCCATCTGTGTTATCTCAGGTCACAAGACGGTATTCAAGGAAGCAACTGAAATGGATCAAGAACCGGTTCCTTCTCCCAGCTGACCGTCAGGTATGAGCAAGTTCAGTTCAGGCTTGAGTGTTCTATGAATCCCTTTTTTTTTATGATCCTTTATTGATGTTTTTAATTTAATTTTCTTCCCGTAAACCAAGCCCATATGCCGGGGAGCAAGTAATTATGTTATACGTGGTTAAGCCAGCTCTGTTAGTGGGAGTTAAATAGCTTTTTGGTTTTTGGAGGCACAGCCCTTGTAAAAGTAGATGCCAAAACATGAAAATATAAAATATGCCGTGAGTTTGATTGATAGATATTTTTGTTTTTATTTTATTTATTTATTAATTTATTCAAAAGCAGTTTAGGACATCAACTTACTGTGTGCGCTACATTGAAGGCCCAAATATTTTGTTAAATTAATAATAATAATATAGAATGGTTAACTGAATCTGTGATCAAGTATCGCTGCATTGCAAGAGGTAGAAACTTAATATACTAAGATACCATTATCAATCCTAAAGAGCATATTATGATACACACTAAGAATAAGTATGGATTGTATATTTATCCATGTGCTGTATGCTACTAAAGCTGAAAATCACCTTCATTTTCTGTCAGCTGTTCGTGTCGCTCTTCCTTTCGTTTCTCCCCACCCCCCTCCCCCTCCCTCATGGCAGCTCTCCCATCAGTGCCTCCCTTGGTCCACTGGATAAATACAGGGGAAAACAAGGGCTGCTTCTCACTTGTGGATTCTTTGTCTTGAAGACCGTGCTAAGGCTTAGAATATTGTAATTTCACCCTTATTGCTCCCCACATCTATAATCTCTCTCCAGATGAACTGGATATTGGAGAATGTATTTACAACTCAAAATCAGTACCTTTTGTACTGGGTAAATACTGGTCACTTTAAAGTGTCTTATATATGCAACAACTAAAATTTTAGAGTGCTTTGCAAGTAATATCTCAGCACCACTGCAGTATAATTTTCCATGAAACTACTATGAAACTATTCACAAAAGTTTTGGGGAAAATGTCCGTGTTGTGTGAAGTGGGAATTTTATTTGTAAAATCACAAATTAGCTATTTACTCTTTGAGAGAGAGAGACATGTCCCTTTGTACATGGAAGATTGTAGAGATTAACCTTGTTGATA